CAAAAAAAAACAAAAAAAAAGAAACAAAATTGAAAATGTAATTATGCTTACTCTGTCCAAATAGATAAATTGAAAATAAATACAGATTCTATAAATGTTATAAATTCTTATTTGTGTGAATTAAGTTCATTTTGTTCAGAAAATTTCATAAACAAATAAAATGTGTTTGTAAAGATAGCCAGATTTTCTTTTTCATTTTTTTTTTTTTAAGAAAAAATTATCAAATTCAAATTTTCAGATGGGAAGTGAGGAGTTTGTAGCATGAAAGACTGACTGATAGGTAAAAGGTTGACTCCACCCATCCCATCAAGAAAACAAATAGATTTTTTTTTAAAATTTCATTAACAGTCAACAAACCAAAAAAATCAAATTTTTTTTTTATATATATGTAATAAACAAATATCCAGTTGCAATTCAATGTTAACTATAAAATGCCATGGTTCAAATGTTTCAGGCAAAAATGCTTAACAAACAGAATTGACAATGTTTCCAGTAAACAACAAGAAAAAGAATACTAAGCAAACAATATATATGCAAATCAAAATGAGGCAAAGCAACAATAAGGCAAAATGTTTACAAAGCAATAATTATGCTCATAATATACAAAAAAGAAATTGTTGTATTCTGACTAAAAAATGTCAAGAACAAAAAACTTATCAGATGAGACCAAGAAAACTGAAACAAGATTTATTGGTTAAGAAGAAATCCCAGCATGCATCTGTATTTTATTTATAAATTGGGAGAACAAAAATGTTTTTTTTAACATAAAATTTTCTAAATATTTTTTTTTAAAACCAACAAACTATTAATATATTTTTTTATATATAAAATAGTAGGCAATTAAATGATATTTTATCAAACTTAACTTAGTCTGGCAAAAAAAATAAAAGCAGATCATTATCAATCTCTAGGCACATATGGTTAATATAATATATTGAGTCAGCAAAAATATTCTATAAATTGTATCAATATTTTTTTATTGATGGTTGCTTTTCAGCTGACACATTCTTCAAAACAAACTGAAAGTTATTTTTCTAAATAAAACATCTCATTTCTGCCCATTCTAACTAAACAGATTTATTTTGTTTGATTTGTTGGTTTTATATATTTTTGTTGATTCAGAATTTTCAAGTATAGCTTCACTTAATCCATAGCAAATCGGATGCTCATCAATTTAATCAATGTAAATACATATTTTTTTTTTTTGAAAGACAATTTCTAATAAAATATCTGTTCTACCATTTAAAGTTTCATTTTGCTAAGATATTGGATATAACATGAAATAAAAGAAAAGAATATAAAACCCTATTATTTGAAAAAAAAAAAAAATACATATTTTCAAAGTATATTTTTACATCCAACACAGCATTTTTTTATTTTTTTGTTTTCACCCAATTTCAAGGTTTAAAAATATTATATAAGATATAATATATACTAAATAAGGTTGTTGTAAGGAAAAAAGGATAAATGAACAATTACATACATATTAAAAGGATATATAGTATAGAAAAACAATTTCCTAGACTTCCTCAAGAGGTTAAGATTGTAGTGGTCATGGAAACATCCCCTCAGGAGTCTATTCCACAATGCAACAGTTCTAACAAATGTAACCAGGACAGCAAAATAAAATTAAGTCCAATTTTCACAGTTAAAGGGAAAAAAAAAAACCCATTAATCACTAATTTTCCTTTACCTTTTTTAAATTATAATATTTTCAATTGATTTTCTTTGTTTTCCAGTGCCATATATATATATATATATATATATATATATATATAAATATATATATATATGTATATGTGTGTGTGTGTTGTGGTTTAGTTTAATCTATATTACAATGAATCATTCATCAAAAAGTAAATTAGTAAAGTTAATGATATAAAAAAAAAATTCCTCATCCCTTTGGTAACTAAATTTTAAAGATGCATTAAATTTTATCGTAACTGAATTACCGTTTTTAACCAATTTCTGTAAGTACTTTCAACAGTTCCTTTTTAATCAATGTTACCTGAATTTTACCAAAAACAAAATAGTTTCCATTCTTCAGCATATTTTAAATAGAAACCTAATACAGTTTATAATTTTAAAAATATATCATAAAATTCATGGGTGATTAATGGGTTTTTAATTATTTTTAAATTTTGTTATCAGTTGTAATCTTAACATTTTTGCTTCATTAAACCTTATTGGGTTATTTTTGTCCAGTCTAATGATTCATTGTAAAATAAAAATATTTACTTCTTTCTAATAAAATTTTGGACATTTGAATAATTTTGATAATTCATTGATTTAGAAAAGAATCTTCAACAATGCACTTTTTTTGGACGGCGAACGCTTTGATATTTTTTTATTATTCATTAGCAAATGACATCCAAAAAAATCGAACCTGGATGTTTTATATATATAATAAAAAAAGTGTATAGACACTTCAGGAAAAAAAATAAAAATACTTGTCTTTCATAGCTTTATCAAACTGTGATAATACTGTTTACTGCATTACAATATTTTCTTGACAGATGGCCCTTAGGCAAGAAATAGAAAATGCATGTGCAGCAATCCCATGAGACAACTAGGCCAACATTGCCCAAGCTGTAGTTTGCAGTACTAATAAATGTCTGGAAGCTAAAGGCCACCATTTTGAGCATCTGTTGCAATTGTAGAGTCCAAAGGTAACTTGTAATAATCTTGTGATGTCTGAATAAATTTAGTATTACAATATCTATACAAGCTTTTCCTTTCTTGAAGTGTGTATATATTTTTTGTTGGACTGTGTGTGTGTGTGTATATATATATATATATATAAAATCTAGGGATTAAAAAATGGCTTAATATTTATCTCCTCAGCTAAAACATCACAGACAAGCAGAACCACATGATGAAGTGGTATCAAACCTGTTCAGAAATATCTGTTCTAAGATCAATGGATAAAAATGGCTTTAAGAGAGTGAGTGAAGACTATACTCCTTCAAACCTTGTGGATTGGTGCTACAGAATCAAAAATAAACAACTGTACCAAATAAAAGAAACCACGTCACATGAGGACTTTCAACAGCAGCAACAACTAAAATGGATAGCACATGAAATGCAAAGAGAAAATAATGACATAATCAAGATGTTGACATTCCACACTACTTCAGACAAAAGGTTAGGAAGGAACTCCCCCCATCCCACATCAGTACTGGACTTGAGAAACTTATTTCCCTGAAAAGTTGTTTTAAGGGAAAGATTTTACAAATTTCAATCAAAAATAGAACTGGCTGCTCAGTATTGACCTAATGTTTCCTTATAAGGAAACAACTAATATTACCATTATATTATTAGTTGCTGTATATTTTCCAGTAGTATCTAGTGAATGGAGATAATATAGCAGGAAAACTGAAATGGTAAAACAAGCTTGAAACCATTTGAAGATGTATATGCTCACTCTACACTAACATTTCTAGGAAAAGCATGACCCTTTCTCTGCCAGATACTTTGACAAAGATCTTGTAACAGGCATACTATGGTGGCTGATGGAGAAGAGACTTCATTCAAGATATTCTTCCTTTCTGAAATGCTACAAAGAGCTAAAGTCCAGTATAGCAACTCTAACAACATTTGGGCTATAGAACTAATCAAATGGTGAATATATCTGAAGCTAAGCTTATCTCTTCCCACTGTGCAGAGATTTCAGTCTAACAAAATGTCTAGATGTATATCTTGACTTCTCCCCATCCTATTACATGGTTGTGGGATCTGGAAAATGAATCTGGGTGACGACAAACTTGTTGACCTATTTCACAACAAGCTTAAGGATCGTCAAGATTCAATGGCAAAACCATGTGAAAATGGAACTGCTCCAGCATGCATCTGCAGAATCCCTTAGCATTAAAATATGGTGAAGTAGATGTGGGTCCATCAGCCATGTTTTAAGACCCAAATAATGACTGCTGTAGAGGCACTAACCTGACACCCTAAAGGAAAATGAAGAATGATATTGTGGATGATTGTAGAGAAAGAGAGGACAGCAATAAGCTGGTAATCCTGGAGTGAGGCACAAGTGGCAGCTGCAGACTGGGCAGAATGGAGACATTACATCATGGCCTTATGTGCCACCAGGCAGGCAGAGAGTTAGATAAAATGGCCCCAAGCTTTTTTGCTGTACAGTTTTTTTTTGGTGTTTTTTAAGAAGTTGACTTATACACAATTAGATGGAATAGTTGTGTTTTACAGGTGTTGTCGGATCATTTGAAAAACATAAATAAAAAAACAAAGAAGAGAATATGACATTAAAAAAAAAAAAAATTATCAATTAGGTTATCTTTCCACAGATGCTTATACATGTCAATTTGATAATATAAATGGTCCAGTTTCTAAAATTTTTTTTTTCTCATCATTTTTCCTTCATCCATTGATTTGGGTTGATAAAAAAAAAAAAAAAAAAATAAAATCACAAATTAACAAATCAACAGAACAAGAAAAACAAAAAAGAATAAAAAAAAAAACATAATAAACAATTGATGCAAACAAATATAAATGGTATGATTAACCAATAATAGAAATGCTAGTGCACCATCATGCACGGATAGTCTTCAAGAAGCCATATAGGCTAGTGACTGAGGAACAGGTAGAAGGTGTTAGATCATGAAAAAGAGGGAGCAAAAGGGAGGGGCTGATCAAATTGGCCATTTTCTTCTTTTTTTTTTTATCAAAAATATAAAAATTGTCAGATTTGGTCATAATGTTAATTTATGATAGATCAATGTTTTGGGTGGTGGGGTTGGATTTCGGCAGAGGCACATGACAATTATTAATGTGTAGATGCTGTATTTAAAAAATAAATGCGGGTTGTGGAATAGATGTTGGTTGGGCAGAGATGAGGGTGGCCTGAATTAGAAGATGGAGACATGCAACAAGATCAAAATAGACCGAGAATTATTGACAATGATGATGATAATGATGATTATGTTAACTGGCTGGAGTGGAGACTGTGATATCAGTGGCAGTTTTTTTGAGGGAGCTCATTGTCGCTGCACAAACATATGTACTGGATTGCCGTTTTTCAACACGGCCACAGCCCGATCATGTTCAATGCAAGCAAAGTCAGTTCCATTAACCTGCAAAGAAAAATAAAACAAAGTCAACTGTGTAAAGAAATGGCTTGTTAATGTTAAAACCTCCTAAATGAAATGGCTCTCTTGTAATCATCTGAGAGAGTCTTTTTTTCTGCCTCCTCTCACAGCATGGCTGATGCTACCCTCCATAAGAGTCACTCACTGTGCCCTCTCATGCTAATGTTTTCCACTGACATGAAGTAGAAAGATTATACTGAGTGAATTGTTAGGTCTGCTTCTAGGAAAGTTGGTTCACTGTGATGTGCTAAACAATTTTATTACTTGCCAGAATCTACTTTTCGTCCATACTTTGACTATTGCTGCCATACATGGTCTGGTTCTCCTGCTATATATTTAGAGATTCATGATAAAATTCAAATAACTAAAAAAAAAAAAACTGTCCTTAACTTTACCTCTGAACTTAAAAAATAAAATAGAATAAACTCCTGTTCTTAGATTTTCTTGCAAAATCAAGTAATAGTTTTTAGGTTTTAGGGGGGAAAAAAAATTCCCATCACTATAGATACACATAGATAAAAATCTACATATTCAGTTAAAAATAAAAAAAAAATCCTTCATGACGGTTAATATTATAGCTGAAAGCACTCAGATATACAGAGCATTTGGACAATTTTTACATCCATGATGTTCAGAAAAGAAAATACTTGTACAAATGCAAAAAAATTGAATAAAAAGTTTAATAGCAATACTATGTCAGTCATTTTTACTAAAACTTGTATCTGTAGAGTTTGCCAAAAAATGTATACACATTTCAGGAAAGGAAAAGCCTGTATAGATATTGTAATACTAAATTTATTCAGACATCACAAGATTAATACAAGTTACCTTTGGACTCTACAATCACAAGAGATGCTCAAAATGGTGGCCTTGAGCATTCAGACACTTAGTATAGTGAACTACTACTTTGGCAAAGTTGGCCTAATTGTCCAGTGGGATTGCTGCACATAGATTTTCTTATCTAAGGGCCACCAATGTAGTCAGTTTTCTGTGATACACAACATACTTTAGGGTTCCCCATAGGTAAAAGTTTGCAGGTGTTAAATCAGAAAAATATTGTACTACAGTAAACAATGTTATCGTAATTTGATAAAACTACAAAAGACAAGTTTTTTCCTTTCCTGAAGTGTGAATACATTTTTTTCGCAGACTATATCTCTCTCTCCATAAATATATATATATATATATATATATATATACTTTCCTGTCAATAATTACATATGAGGACCTAACAATTCAGTTCTTAGAGCTGAAATGCTAGACAACATATATATTATTTGATTATAGAGGTGAATACTTGTCAGAACAGATAACAGAGCACTGGTGTACAGTGCACCATTAAGTCACCAAACAGTCCTCCTCTGCTCAAATTCACAAGTAGTCATTCTAGACAGGTTGCTAACAAAGATTAAGAGCCCAGTCTACCCTGCTCTTTAACTCATAACTAGGAGAAGAGATATAGTGAAACCTTTCCAAATGGTATTTGTGCAAAAGTGAATTTAACAAACTCAACTGGAATTTGAAGTCAGTTTGCTGATTTCTCATTCTGAGCTACTAACCATTATGCTACCTGCACATCCAGTGAGTATATTCATTATTAAAATTTCTCAAATGTGCAGACCAATAGACTTTCTTTTTTTTTTTTTGTTGACTGGGGTTGTATATTTCTTAGTAGATAATTAGTTAACAAAATAAAAGTATATATATGTGAATAATTTCTCAGTTAACATGTAGAAAAAGACAATAGGAAAACTGTAATATTAGTCAACGCATTTCGTCCAATGTGGACTTTTTCAAGGCAAAAACTAAATGAATTTATTAAAACAAAGTAACTAACAAGACAAAATATCCTTAGCAACTGGAAGAATTTAAAAACGCTATTATATTCATATTGTCAACTGAAAATTACATCAAGTCCTGTCACGTGTGGAAATATTGTTTTTATTGTTGCGTTGACAGATTCAACCATTCTTTTGATTTCTTGATACAGTTGTGTACGTTTGTTTGAAAATAGCTGAATTCATCTACACCACAATAAAAACAATATTTCCACACATGACAGTACTTGATGTAATTTTCAGTTGACAATATGAATAGCATTTTCTTAATTGTTCCAGTTGCTAAGGATATTTTGTTTTGTTAGTTACTTTGTTTTAATAAATTCATTTCGCTTTTGCCTTGAAAAGTTCACATTGGACAAAATGCGTCAGCTAATATTACAGTTTTCATATTGTCTTTATATATATATATATATGACATCACAAATAAGGATTTGGCAGGCTCTTGTGAATGATGGTAATGGTTTTTTCAGCTCTAACAAAAGTGACATGTTTTTCTACATTAACTGCTGTAGAAAGTTTGGGAAGCTGGCTGAGGTCCTACCACATCACTGTCAGCAGCTTTCTGCCTAATGATAACAATTGATGCTCAACATTGGATCAATGTCTGTCATGAATTTCGATCCAAAACCTTTGTTGTATAATGTTTGATTTTTTTGTGTGTGATCTATGAAACTTTTTATGCATCAACAAGGAAAAAGATTATGTTGTGAATGAATATCTAGAAAGGATAGAATCACTTTAAAATGATCTGTTTCCTGATTATCTTCAGCTAAAATATTGAAACCCTCTTTTATAACATGCAGCTTGATGAATTTAACAATGGAATGATTGAATATTCATAACACACTAACAGGAAATGGTAACCAAAAGTGACACAGTAAAATACTTGTGGAATTTCCTCTCAGATTATCTTAACTAAATGATTATCTTAACAAAATGACAATCCGCAACAGTTGTGAAAAATAGGGAAACGAAGTTTGGATGGAATTTTGCTATTTCCAAATTGAGAGTTTTGTCGAAGTCTGTGAATATTGAATTATTTCAGTCATTAAAAACATGAATGCTTGCTTATTTACATATGATAAAAAAGATGATTACAGCACACTATTATCAATTAGAGCTTAATACTTTCTGGCACATTAACAATTTCGTGGGTCAAGCAGTATTGTTTTTACATCTTCAATATTGTTCACATTTTTTTTTATCATACTTATTTTCCCAGCCGTAACATACAAAATAAATGTATAAGTACTCAGCTTATAATTTATAAATCATTCTTAGCTTTAGTCATTTAATTAGTAAGGGAAATTCTGAATGTCCAGTGAGGCCAATGAGAAAGACTAAAGTATATACATTTGATGCCAAACTCATTCTTAAAAAAACTTAATAAAAAGGTTTAGTCACTACTGCAATCTTCTGATTATACAAAGATTTCTTTAGGTTTGGTTTGGTTTGGTTTATTTTACAGCATATCAACTTCAATGGGTTATTTAATGCTGACAAGATTTTTAGGATAGGTTCATATGCATAGAATATGTATTCTTTGTAAGAAATCTGTTTGTAGATCAGCTTTCATTGATATATTTTTGTAAAGAGAGTTTTTGTCAAGAATTTGGTTTCATTGATGTATTCTTTTCAGACATACAGTTTGTAGATAAGTTGGGTTTATTTTGTTTTACAGCATATCAACCTCAATGGGTTATTTAAGGCAGACAAGATTTTTACAATAGATTCATTTGCTTGTTTGTTTAGTAGCATATCAACTCTTCATGGGTCATTTAATGCCAAAATTTAATTTTCTTTTACAAAAAAATGTAGTGCTGGTAATTTTTTTCTTTTTAAATGTATTGCTCCCAATCAGATGCCTTGCTGCCAGATGTAAAAAGATTTCTTTATCTTTGGCTTTAGATTAATTAAATCAGAGCAAGAGAACAAGATGGATCCTTACAAGTGAGTTTTGGGTCCATATCATAGGTTGACAAAATGGATAGCTAAATTTATTATATTTTGTTATTGAGTGATGATGTATTCAAATGTTGCTTTTAAGTATTTTGTAGGGTATTTCTGCTTATTTTTTTATAAATTTTTCACTCTACACAATGGAAGTAAATTGTAGTACACTTTGAAACTTAAACTTGGAAACTAATTTTGCAAATGTTAAGAATTTTGTTGCCTAACAGAAGTGGTCACAAATGGGAACTTCAGGGTTTTTTGCATATAATCCTGACTCCCCTCTTTAGTATCTAAATACTGACATCTATGACAATGCTTATTTGAGTTGACAGTTTTGTATTTGCATATTCCAGTTTAGATTTTTATCAATCAGCACTCAAAAGAATTTTGCATACTTTGATCTTTGAATCAGTTTTGACCAAAGCAAAGTTTGTAAAGCTTTAAAAGGTAGATCATCTTCCATATTCAAAGAACCAAAGAGGCTGCATTTTTTTCTTCATATTGGGTGAAAGTTTATTTGCTGCAAAGCATTCATTAATAACAGATAACTGCTCATTCACTGTGTTAAAAAAAGATGCAGTGATTATGTCCCATTAAAAAGTGATTTGTATCATCTACAAATAATACTAAATTTAAGACAGGAACTGAAGAATGCATGTCATTAACATAAATCAGAAAAAGAAGAATGTTCTGTTCTTGTAATTTTGTAATTTTCAAGTTTCTTTAGTCGGATGCCATGATCAACAGTATTAAATGCTTTACTAAGGTCAATAAACACACCTAGTGTTAAATATTTCTTTGACATAGCCTCAGTGATATTATTAACAAATTCTATAAGTCTGTAGAACAGAATTTTTTTTCTAAAAAAAAAAACAAAAAACAAACTGCTTGTTATAAAATAGATTGTTTTTGCAAAATAATTGTACAATCTGGTGTGCATGATACTAACAATTTTGAAAAGGCAGATGAAAGTGAAATAGGTTGATAAGTTTTTCTCACCAGAGTCCATCCTTCAAATCTATAAATCAACCATTTGCTCCTGCATGGAATATTGGAGCCCCCGCTGTTTGTCTTAAGGTCCTTGACAAAATCCAGAGATGGATATGCAATGCGATTGGCCCTGATCTGGCATTTCATTTACAGTCATTCTCTTACAGACATGCTGATGCTTCCCTCTGTCTTTTCTACAAATACTTTCACAGTAACTGCTCCAACAATCTACTTTTGCTAGTTCCCAAGCTCACAGTTCCTGTCTGTGGAACTCCCCTCCTCTTATTCGCTTCCCTGATAGCTATAATCTCCAACTATTCAAATGCAATGTAAATCGACATCTCCAGATACACTGATCTATTCCCCATCCTTCTCTTCATCCTTTCCTCTTGCTCCCACTCTCTTTAACTCTTTGCATTCTAGTGGCACTCACACCTTGCCTGGGGTGAAAAGCTTTATAAAAAAAAAAAATTCTTTGTTTTGATTTAGCTCCTGATTTAAATGACGGCATACTTTAGTAATTTTCATTTAATCTGGAAAGATTCTACTTGCAAAATAAAAGTTAAAGATATGCAACAAAGGTCTTTTCATTGATTCATAAGTGTTCTTTTTTTTTTTTAAAACTATCTTCACATTTATATAGTCATGACATGGTACTTTGTTTTGAAATGTTCAAAAGCACTTCTCAAATACACTTTTGTGTCCTGGGTATGACGATAAACTACAGCCGGCAGCACGGCATCAGATCTGGAGATTTTGAGGAGTATGGAACCACCTCTTAATTGCTGACCCAGAGTGGTAGCACCAGTTAGGGTCCCAGCTATGGATAAATAGTTAACCTCCCAACTGGAGTCAAAACACTATGAAAGTATAAAAATACATTTTTATAGTAAAAGTAACAGTAATACATTTTTAAGAAAAAGATTTACTAGCAATATATTTTTGTAAAATTAATAATCCCAAGAAAATTAATTTTTGGTATTAAATGACCCACTGAGGTTGATACGCCATAAAACAAAATAAACCCCAACTCAAATACACTTTAACTAGTAAGAAACAAACAGGACTGTCCTTTGGTGAAGTTGTTAAAACAAAATGGAAATTTTGATATAATAAAAAGTCTTCTGGAACTGCTGTAACTCATCAAAATCAGTCATCCAAGTAGATGGACATCATAAAAGAATAAAATTTGAAACAATTAAAGTGATCATTACTATATGAACTATAAAACTGATTTAAATAGCATTAATTGGTTGCTGGGGATTTTATGGCGTCTGATTTACCCGCTAAGCCAAAAGACTTACTCTCCACTCCAATAGTTTGTCATCAAGACAGATACAGGGTTTTAATGTTGGCAAGAAAAACATGTTGGCATTTTCCCAGCTTTGAATGAACAAGGTAAATCAAGACTAGAAGGAAAAGGCAGACAGCTCTTTTCTAGAGGATTAAAAAAGAATCTATATATATATATATATATATATATATATATATAAACACATATATGTGCTGTACTGTAATGTACAGCAAATTGATCAAAGAGAAGCTACAAATGATAGCTACAGACTTTGGCTGATGGGGGGAAAAGAGTGGAATCTGACTCAAGAACCTAATGTTTTCCTCTAGCATAGACATCATTATTGTTGTTCTTTCATAGAATTACACGTTTGCCAGGGGGCTGAAGGTGGCCAGTACAAAAAAAAAAAAAAAAAAAAGTTCCTACTAACATTTTCTTCAGATTGACAGGAAGCAGAAAGAAAAAAAAAGTCAGTCAGATTCTGTCCAATTACCATTCTGCATGGCATGGAAGATGATAGCAGCAGTTAACTAATGTTTTTAAGTCATCTTCTGATCATGGAGCAAAAGAGAGAGAGAGGGGAGACAAAATGAAAGTAAAATATTTCACTGTCTCTTTTGCAAAACAAATAGAATTTTCTGTATGACAGTATCTGTCATCTAGAGCAAACAGAGAGTTTGCATTAAGTATGATTGAGTCTAAGATGTAGATAATTTTCTTCTTTTTTTTTTAAATGGATTTTACAAGCAAGGAAAATGTCACATTTTATTTCTAAGTTTTTATTTTAAACTTCAAATTAATATGTTTATAATTAAAAAAAAAAGTGCAACTTTCCACTAATTAAGTAAATATTGACCAAAATTCTAAATTATTATTCAAACATTAGATAACAAAATGCTGACACTTTTCATACAAACATCTTATATAATAGTCAAAGTTTCAGATAAAGGCATCAGAATAAAATTTATAAATATATGGTACTAAAAAGTTCTCAGCCCAACAACAATGCAATAAAATTGCTTCCCTGAGCCTTTTCTATAAATACTTTCATGGTAATTGTTCAGATGAGCTCTTCACTATGGTATCTAAACTTTATTAATTTAAATGCAGTACAAGAATCGCAACAAAGTCTCAAATTTACAGTTGAACTGACTAGATGTAACCGTAAGTTCTATGCTAACAGTTTTTTTTCTCACACTCCTCACTTGTGGAACTCTTCTGGTTCCATAGTTTCTGGCCAACTCTGATCTTCAAAAATTTAAATGCCATGTTATCTACTGTCTTCCCAATAACTGATCTATTTTTCTGACTCCTTCATAATGTTTTCTAAACCTTTCACACCCAGTAACCACTTGTGTTTTAGTGGCTTTACTGCCTCACATGGGGTAAATTCTATTTAAAAAAAAAAATAGAATTTCCCAAATTTTTTAAATTGGATCAGGACAAGATTTCAATAATCTTAAATATAACTCACCTACTCAAAACAAGAAAAAGATAGATCCATTAATTGTCAAAGAAAATGGAAGTTCAAATTAGAGTTGATTCTGTTTCATTCATTTCACAAAAGGCATGAATCCAACTCCTTCCAGCAATGGCTTAAATAGCAAGACAGAATGGGTTCTCTAGTCTTGGTTGGCAGCAAGTCTAAAAGTTGGAGAACTCTGAATTCAAACCAGAGCCGTTTCGAGATTTCCTGGCACACTGTACACCATTTCTTCATTATCAGTTCTTCCAAAAATTGTGGCCGATTCTACACCAGCGTTTGTCACAATAATTATCTATAAGTATGTGAAGTCTTGTGGTTAAGCTCAAAATTCAACACCTGGGCCCTAATATATTGAAACTAACAGGAAAGTCCACGATATATATTTCTTATTTCTATAAGTTTTATATTTAGTAGATACACACGTTTTAGTAGACAACACTTTTATTTTAAACAGTGACATTCATGTCAAACAACCCAGGGATCAAGAAGTCCTACTTAAATATGCCGCCTGTTGGCAGATATATACATAGATATATGAATGTAAAAGTATATAAAATGTGCCTCCAAACAGGAGGGGTGTGTGTATGTATGTAATAAAAATATAATTTTAAGGTACACTATATTAATGGTTTAAAGTGCTCAATATTTTAAATATAAAAGTGGACATTGAGGTCAACACCTACTGGCAACATTCTGTTTCATGCTTAAACACCACTGGGTGCTTTGTATATCAATGTATATATATATATATATATATATATATATATATATATATATATAAGGTTTTTTACAGAAACTGTCCAATCATTTCATGTTAACAAATATAGTCCTTTACAGTTACTTAATTCCCTTAAAAGTTGTGCCCTTAGGGCATCAAACACTTATTCCAACATGCGCTCTATTTATCCAAACTGTGTAAACTCCTTTCAGGATTAACATCAACCTCTGCTTCTCTTTAAAACTTAAAAGTAGTTAACAGGAAATGACAAAGCTGATTGAAAACAGATGCTGTCCAAAGATTAAGAAAGTCTGATGGAAGTATGAAGGGAATCAGAGCAAGGCTTAAAAAAAATAAAAATATATAATTATAATTAAAAATTTGGAATGTATGAGTGGTATAATGGATAACAGCTTATAACAAGAAATCAGAGAGCTGAGTTCAAATTCCTGCCAAGTTTCATTACATTTCACTTTTGGCAAATAGCTTTGAATTGATGAATCCAGCTTTGCATCCCACTGCAGCTACAACTTAAATAATAGGGTAGACAAGGCTCTTCAGCCTTCATTGGCAACCATTCTCAAAGGACAACTCTGAATTTAAAGCCATATGTAGTCCTGGCAAAGTTCATACTACACAACTAATGAAAGGATAATCGAGTTTACAAAGACTGATTCCCACCACAGTCATTTAATCACTCAATCAATATATATATATATATATATATATATATATATATATATATATATATATATATATATGTAATAGAAATTCAAATTGAGGTTTCAGAGAGTCCATTTCAAATTCCAGTAGAGTTCATTACATTCACTAACATGCAAATACTCTTGGGAAAGGTATGAATCCATCTTTTGTCCCAGCTATGGATAAAATAACAAAACAGGCTAGGGACTATAGCTCTGGGTAGCACCCAGTCTAGGAGAAGGACAGCTCTGATTTCAAAACCTGAAGAAGGTTATTTGAAGACCTTGTGGCATGCTGTGTACCAGTTTTCTGTATTTGGCTCTGCACAAGTCTTCACCACTGTTATCAAATTATATGTGCAAGTAGTCTAGTTGTTATGTTCGAAGACCTCAGCTGCTGAATCCTTATCTGTTGAAAAATGGAAGAGTTATATATATATATATATATATATATATATATATATGGTGGACTCTCCCATCGTATTCAACATATCAGGGTCAAGCAGCTAGGGTTCCTACAAACCGACAGTCCAGACACCAGCACATTATCTGATTATAGTGGTGAAGGCTTTGTGCAGAACGAATCACACTTTTTGAAGGCTCAAATACAGAGACCTGGTGCACTATGTGCCACAAGGTCCCCAAACGACCCCCCGCAGATTTTGAATTCAGAGTTGTCCTTTTCCTAGACCAGTTGCCATCCGAGGCTATAGAACCCAGTCCGTCTTGCTATTTACCCATAGCTGGAGGGAAAAGAAGAGGATTAATACCTTTCCCAGGGTTATTAGCATGCAAGTGAATGTAATGGATTCGATTGGAATTTGAACTCGCCTCTCTGATTCCTCAATCCAAGCTGCTATGCACTACTCCACCGTGCCTCCTATATATATATTTTGATAACAAACCTTGAGAATTTTATCTCCTGGAAATAAATGGTTCATGGCTGGACCTTCTGCTTGGACTTTGGTTACAAAAATTCCCTGCAAGGAATGAAAGATGGAAAAAAATTGTCATTATATTATTTTTCAGAATATTACCATGTAAGATATATTTCTTTCACAAGAGAATCTAAAAAGAAAAATACAAAATAAAAACAAAGTACAAAATGCAATCCATTCAGATCACCTGATAGTGGAAGCATGGGTATGAGATGTACTAACTCATCTAAAACAGGACAGCATATACTTTATTATCTGACAGTTCAAAAATATATATTGTATATCGTATATACTCGAGTATAGTGCAAGATTTTATGATCAGTTTTTTTTTGTTTTTTTTTTTACACAAAAAATTGGGGGTCACACTAGACATAGGTAATTTTTTTTTTTTTTGAAGAGAATAAAAAATTATGCATTTTCAGTAACCGGTTACAAGTTTTCTGGAGTGATTAAAATTCATGCAAAAATATTCAGGAGTCACACTATACATGAAATCAGCTTATACACAAGTATAATTACTATATCTGCAAGGTGGTCAAGATTTATGCCTACATAAAACCCTTGTTTTATAGGCCTTTATTTGTAGAAAGAAAAAACAAAAATTCAATTACATGTCATCAATATGATCCAGCTGACACTTTTGACATTTGGCTCCCAATCCATAACAATGTCACATCAGCTCAAAGAGGCAGATAATATTCTTGAGCATATTTTACAGATTGAAAAAAATAGAAAAAACGAGTTATAAAATTCACTAAAACCTCATTTTCAAAATACTAGTAAAGAAAAGAATTGTCAGAATTAAACTGAAGCATCATTAATCTTGCATTTATCTTTTGAATGCCCTCTTTTTTCACTCTGAAAATGCGTTATCTGATGCCATGATTGAAATCAAGTAATGTTTTTGGTAATTACTTGATTTCACATTGATATTAGGCTGAAATTTATTTGGATTATATATATATATATATATATATATATATATATATATATATATATATATATATATTCCAAATAAATACACAGACTGTTTCACTGTATCACAGCTCATCAGTGTCACTAGACATCAGATTAACTCAGACCTGGATCGAAACCAAATAGATTTGGCATGAGTCGAAGATTTTTCTCCTAAGCTATCAGCTCTCAGCAGAAGAAGAAGGTGAATTTTTACATCTTTATTTTTGAATAAACATGCCAGTGATTCAGAGTGCTCAATCCATAGAAGAGATTTGCATCAGCGGTAGCAGTCACTATAAGCATGTCTGATTGCAAAAATTACAAACATTATGTCTGCTTATTTTGATCATAATCCTTTCATATTCACAAATATTTTTACATATATTACAATTAAATAAGTCAAGAAATGCACTGTAACTTCTTGCCTCATTTAGTAGTAATATATGGTAAAATATTCATGAATATGAAAGGATTATGATCAAGATAAGCAGACATAATGTTTGTACTTTATTCAATCAGATATACCTAAAAGAGAATTTGCTGCCTAAATACACACACATATATATATATATATATATATAATATATATATATATACACACACACACAGAGGGTGCGATGGATAAATTGTCATCTAAATTACATAAAAATGAAAGTAACACCAAAATCTCATTTTAACAGATATATTTACTAAAATTACACAAAAATGTTTTGAAATGCAAAAGAATAAATTTATTCAATAAAATCGCCATTGGCTTCAACCACAGCCTCCAGACAACTTTGGAATCTTCTGCAACTCTTCTGGGCGGTCTCCTTGTTCAAGTTAGTGAATGCTTCCATATTCAGTTTATCTTTGGTATTATACAGAGTTTTGTTGTCCTCTTGCTCAACTGCACCCCACACATAATCAAGGGGGTCACAGCCAGGGGAGTTAGGTGGCCAGATGTAAAGAGTGATGTGGTTGCAGAAATTGTCTGACAGCCATTGATTTATTTTGTTTCACTGCTTATCAACCTTTTGCGGGTTATTTAAAGCTGAAACATATTCTGGACTGTAAAGTAACTGTGAGTATCAAATTTTCCAAGCCCTCTCTCCTCCTTATGTGCCTTAGAAATATTCATGTGAATATGCTTTGTTATAACTATTTTAAAATTTTAAATTTATCCATTGTAGCTAAAGAATTTTTTGTAAAACAAGCATTTCAGTATAAGGAAGCTAGCTGGAATTTGGTAGAATGCAAAATGGCATTAAATGCTTGTTATATTGACTTCAACACATTTCTGCTATACTCAATAAATTTTGTTGAGTGTTGATTGGTTGATTTTGATATAGAGGGCCTCAAGAATTTAAAGTTTTTTATTATTTTCATGTTGTATATTGGTGTTGTCACGCATGTTTTTTAAAAATCACCATTACAACAAAAACATTTCATCACAGTTACAATAAGTTCATTTTTGTAATTTACGATAATCTTGGATGAGATTGAAAGTACTTAGGTAGGAAAAACTCATGGTGCCTTCCTTGATGCCTTCCTGCACAGTCTATATATATATATATATATATATATATATATATATATATATACATACATACATGGGCTAGAATATTTGCCTTCTGACCATGAAACCCAGGTTTAAATCTCACCATCATTTATTTGTCAGGAAGATGACTTCCTGATGTTGGCGGTCTGGGGGAGGTGATCCTAGCCTGTGGCACCTTTGGAAATTATCTGAAAAGCATACTATGGGTTGATTCAAACCTTGTGAGTGAAATTGGGTAGACAGAACTTAGTGGCAGCCATTGAAGGTTGCGCAAGCACAAAGTCACCATGATCAAGGGTTTGAGTGTGCTGGCCTTGTTCAGACTGTTGATCACACGATATCATACTCTCCCCCAGATACTGTAACTAAGGTCTGCTCAGTATAGTTGCAGTATCAACCATAAGTGGGCTATGTGGGTGTTGAACAAACACAAATGTGCCTGAGGGTATTGGCTAGCCATCCTAGTAGACAGGCATCCTTGGATACAAGTGGCCAGCAATTTATATATATATATATATATATATATATATATATATATATATATATATATAGCAAATGGATGTCACAATGAAATCAACCAGACATTTCTGGTTTTTGAGTCCTCTTGAATTGTTTTCAGCTCAATTATGGAACTATATTGTGTTAATTGTACTTAAAGCTTAAAACAAAAAAGTTTCACACTTCTAATTTAAAAATAAGTGTTTAGTACTAGAAACCTCAGTCTTCACTGAATAGCAGAATTTCTGAAAAGGGGTTTAATTTTGCATTTAATCCATATAGACTTCTTTTTTGAAGATTTTTAGTGCTGAAAATGGGCTTGGTATCAAAGTAAACATTGCAATAAAGGTCTATATCATGATTTTCTAATAAAAACAAGCAAAGTTCTGTCAAAAACTAATATGTACTGCCCAGTATATGGTGCCAAATTGGGTAACAATCAATATAATGTATGAAAGTAACTGAGACGATTTTAAATATCCTCCTACAAACAATGTTCCTACATCTTGCAGATTTAAATTGTTTTAATATTTGAGAATTTATACTAAAGAAGAAAAAAATTTATCTGTCGTTTTTTTTTGTTTGGCCTATTCAAAGATGTGGATGGCAGCCAAAAGCTAAAATCCAGAAAAAACATGGTGAATAAATTGTGCTAATTTGACTGAATATTGTGTTGCGAAGCTCCCAATTTTATTTTTTTTAATGCAGGTGATATACAGGTCATTTTTTCAAAAGACTGTCAAATTAAACCTGTCTGTCACTTAATATTCAGTTCAACAATATTCCAATGACTTTTCAAGCAGAAAAAGCAACTATTCAGAATTGATCATCAAAAAAAAAAAAAAAAATTTAAACATGTACCAGTTTTGATTAACTTCAAGTGGTCTTAACTTGAAAATAGTTGGAGTTTAGACAAAGTTAAACCAGTCCTGAATTTCCAGGACTATCTACTTTCAGACTAGACATAGCACATGACTTAAAAAATTTTGTAAAAATTCCAAATATCCACTTGTGAGCTCACTGTGTATAATATTAATAAAATATCTTGAACATAGATACGCTACACACATATTTCAAAAGGCTCATCTGCTTAGATAACTCCGAGCTTAGATTTGCAATCAGGCCACTCAAGGTAGTTTAGTATATAATTGTCTGGGTAGTAATTTTTTTCTCTTTTGGCCTCATGTAATGTTAGCAAATAACTAGCAAAGAAAGTATCTATATTAGTATCGACTAAAAAAGTTTAAAGAAGAGTGTATCATAGGAAATAAGAATTAAATATTAGTCCATACAAAAATTAAAGAAGGAAAACTACAAATTGGTCAACTCACCATGTCATCAGGCTTGAAAGGGTTACCATAGGAACCAATGCCACCAGCTATACTAAAACCAAGACCAGGGTTTTTTGTGATGTTCACTTCAAACTTAAAAAAAAAAAAAAAAAAAAAAAAAAAAAAAGGAAAAACAACAAAGGTGAAAGCTACCAAAACATAAAACATGGAATTTCTGATAATTTCTTTGTAATTAAAATTATTAAGAAAAGAGTTTCTATATATTTTTATGACCATATTCTTTACTGGAAGGACGATATAAATGCTATCTGCTACAAAATTGGCAAAGCAAGTTCAAGCTTCAGGTAGGGCATTTTGCACATCTTAACCTAATATAATGCAGGAGATACCAGTGAGAGATGTTGACTGCACTAATGCTTGAACACAAATGATTAAATTTTGATACCTGTTTACCAATTAAAGCTTTGTTTAAATATGGTCTTAAATTTTTGACCAGCTAGTATTTAACCTAATTTCCTAGTATTCAAATTTCCCCTATTAAATGCTAAAAAAGTTTTTAATTTTCACTTATTTTCATTTTTTGTAGCTTTTAGTGGCTGAGTCTAACAAAGCAAAAGGTATATTTTTTCTTTATTTTCATTGGCCTTAAGATTTGGGCCAGTAGTGTATCTAATGTAGGTGCATGTTTGTGTTGTGTGAGAGTGAATTACATCTGCTTGTGTCATTTAATGTACACAGATGCACACACAATTTGACCGAGTCTGAAATAAGACATAGGAATGATACACTCTCCTCTGTCTGGATAATTCCTATACTGGGTGAGAAATAATAACACAAAAAAAAACATTACAGATTAATTTTCATCAAACTGTCTCTTTGATTACATACATGTACAGCTTTGAAATAAAAAAAAAAAAAAAAAAAATCAGCTTTTCTTTCTCTATTACATAGTGAAATAACTGTAGTGTCCTGATACTTGTTTTGGTAAACTTGGACGTTTGTGTCAAAAAAAAAATAAAAAAATAAAAATGTCAGCAGGATGGTTTTTCCATTGACACCACTATTGCTTTAAGTACCTTCACACCTCGGCAATGTTTATTCTTTTAAAAAGTGATGACTAGAATTTTATGAAAGTGACTTTATATATTTTTTTTGTTCTTGAGAAATGACAAAAAAAAAAAAAAAAATAATAATAATAAACTCTATTTATTTATTAGATTGTTTATTGGAATGGTTGGCAAAATATCAGTTACTTGCCAATTGATTTGAATTTTAAAAAATGTAATTTAATTTTAAAAAATGTAAATAAGGATATCCTCATAGTTGGTTTATATATTTTAATAACTTAGTAAATGTTTGGAAATTTCTGAGTAAAAATTGTTTTCATATTTATTTCTTTATAAATTAGTAAATAATAAATATTGCATTGCATTATCTTTAATTGTATTAGTTTTTAGAATGTTGTAAATAAACAATACAATGAAGTGTTTCTTATTTTTGTTGTAATTCTCAAAAACAAAAAAAAATTTATAAATTCACTTTCATCATATGTTTAGGTTTTATTACATTTCTAATCATCAGTTTTTAAAACAAACATTGCCAAGGATGGAAGGTAGTTAAAACAATAGCATTGTCAAGGGAATAATCATTCTTTTAACACTTCATTTTTCTGTGGAAACAAGACCCAAGTTTGTGCTTATTTTATTGTTCCTATCCTCTTCACACCTATTTACCAATATCAGTCTATTTGAATCTTTCCATGCCTATCTCTATCAGTCTACTAGTATCTATCAGATGCCAATATCTATAAATCTATATGGTACCTAGAAAATGAGAGCATAGAGATGGTCATAAAGTAGTTTATTACTTATGATGATAAAGTGAATTTGAGTTTTATTTTTTTTTAAATTAATGGCCGCAAAAAGTGAATTACAGTAAAAATGGTACAAGTGGAATGAGAGGGGAAAAATGGCGTAACTAATTTCTCAGCAAAAGAACTTAATTTTTAAGCCTCATAAAAATCAAATAAGATTTTATTAAACTTCTCAGAAATTATTCAGTAACAAGTAAAATTTTCTTTTGAAATTTTTTTTCTTAATTTTGTAGAAATATATTTTCTGTTATTTAATTAAAATATACATGCATATGCCTACATACATACACAATTTGAATGAAAATGAAATGAACATTAGTGTCACAGGAGCTAAAATCCTGACTAACAGGAAAACAGCATAAATCTTTGAAGTTACATTTATGACTCCTATATTTAAACAAAAACTTTATAATAATGTTTGTCCATTTAAATTACTACAATTTAGATGTGAAATGTAATCATCATGACATCGAAGCTGATGGGATGTAAAACTAATGGGAAGACCAAAATATTATGAAAATCATGCACAAATCTGAGAAAAGTGATCATAACTCTCTACATTCCTTATAGTTTTAATATCAGAATTGCCATGCATTCTTAAAATAGTGGAGTAGTTTCTCATTGCCTTTTTCATAAAATATAAAACACACTACTGAATATTCATAATCTATATACAGTGTAACCCGGATATAAGAGAGTTGTCGGGACCAGATAAGAAGTCTCTTATATACGGGTTTTGTCTATTTTGTTTACATTAACACAGGCTCTAATTTGGGACCAGAGAAAATCTCTCTTATATCCGGGTTTCTCTTATATCCGGGTTTGGTCTATTTTATATACATTAACACAGGCTCTAATTTGGGACCAGAGAAAATCTCTCTTATATCCGGGTTTGGTCTATTTTATATACATTAACACAGGCTCTAATTTGGGACCAGAGAAAATCTCTCTTATATCCGGGTTTCTCTTACATCCGGGTTTGGTCTATTTTATATACATTAACACAGGATCTAATTTGGGACCAGAGAAAATCTCTCTTATATCCGGGTTTCTCTTATATCCGGGTTACACTGTATAACTTTCAGCACCATTTTGTTAATTTTTAAATGCGTTCATCCCAGAAATCATAAGCAAAATGTTTATCCTCCATGTTTGCTCAAAAGATTAAAAAAAAACAAGCTTGATTTGTTTGTTAATCAAAAATTAAGATCATCCATGAAAAGTCAGTATAAAAAATAAAGACTTTATATATGCCTGCATAATACCTATAAAAAAATGACAGGGTTTTTTGTATAGGTAGTGTTGTTTCTACCAAGGACCTCTATTTTGAGGTTGGTGCATTATGACGTAATGCATGAAGAAACATGCAAGTAAAATCCTTCACTCTGTTAAATATATTTATCATTTGTTAACTACATTTAAAACCCCAGTTACAAAATTTAAGATCTTATTTGACTTGAGGTTTGTCAATTTTATTTATAATGGCTTAGAAATCTGAAGCTGCTTTGGTTTCATTTTTTTTTTTTAAACAATGCTATGTAATATCTCAGTATTTACTACATAGTTATAGAAACAAGTTTCTAGCTGCCTACATTCATTAATATGACTATGAATTGTATTTTGACCAAACAAATAGCAAGTTAACCAATGGGATAAGATGATAGTAATATATCCAACATACAAATATGATGTTTATGTATCATACAAGGCAAGAAAATTTCTAGATGATATTAGTATTATATAATGAACGTTTCTGAAGGCATAAACAGAGAGACAAAAAAATTTGACTTTCTCATTTGATGCTATGCCAAACCCTGAAAATATTATGTATAGGAGCAACTGCATTCATTTTATTCTTATGAATAAAATTATTTATGAATGAAAAAAATGAGAATGATCATTGAAATTTTTATAAATCAACAACTTGCTTATTAAATACTGATTACTTGCAAACATTTTTCAGAATTATTTTCTTTGAAAATTTTATAAAAAGGTTTTCCTTTTTTTCATTGTTTTAAAACAAGGACTGAAAAATGTAAGATAGATAGATACTGCTATTTCTACATACCACATTTGTCTGTTCATATTGATACCAATTATCTTGCTGATGCTGTTGTTGATGGTATGCAGCCTCCACACATCGACTAGGAGTGATCTCCCTTGATGGAGGTGGACTAGAAAAATCACTGGCAGATGGAGTGTAGGAACTACGCTCGTCCGCAGAGTTTGGGCGATATGAATGTCTTGGAGATGACATCTTTGAATTGTTGGCATTGGAGAAGCCTAGAAAACAGACATTTATTTTAAACATCATTCAAGAAAACAATGCATTACAATTATTCAAAATAAGTTTTAGCGATATAAAAATTTTATTTTTTATTTTCATGAAGTTATTAATGACAGTATCAGATGGGAAAGTGTGTGTTGCATTCTAGAAGATAGTTTTGACTGTGTAGTGTGTTTGACCCTAACTGGATGCTCTAAACTTGTGACCTTATATTAGAATAAATTAAGTTTAATAAAGGTTTAGAAACAAACATACAGTGAAATCTCAGTTCTCAAATGTCTCACATGTCAAACTAATCAGTTTTCAAACAGAAAATTCGAGATGAAAATTCCTTGGTTATCAAACAAAATTTTAGTTCTTGAACAACATTGCCAAACTGAGTTAACCCAAACGGAATCATTTCTGAGTTGACCGCTGTGTTGTATACATTCATGTGTTGTACCGTGCCTCCCCCACCTCAATTTTATTGTACTGTGACTTTTTATTCTCTACATTAATTCTTATTGGAAAAATAGTTTTGGGTTATGAACTACCTTCAGGAATGAATTAAATACATGAACTGAGGTTTCACTGTATTAAAAGGGGAACAAAGAACAAAAAAAAAGAAAAATAGTTACCATAAAACAGATAATGCAAATCAACGAAAGAGAATAAAAAATGTTAACCATTTGTCATTCCTCAAATTGAGGAATATAAACAGTCTGCAACAGTAATTAAAGCATACATCTTTGTGACATGCCCCTTCAAGATGTAGGTGATAGTGACTCTCTACAATTTTGTAACCTTTGTATCTCTCAATAAATTGTCTTTGTGTTATTTTTTCTAAACCTTGTTCTGTCATCCATTTATTCAAGCTAACTAAATAGGTTATGCATTGTTTTCATTTGTCTCTTGTGTTCAATCTATCCTGTGAGTATCAGATTTTCCAAACCCTCTTTCCTCATTATGTGCCCTAGAAATTTCAACTATCTCTTCCTGATGTTAAGTATAAGTTTCCCTTCTATTTCTATTTTCTCTAAAACTTTGTTGTTGCTGAGACGTTCAGTCCATGGTATTCTCAGCATTCTCTTGTAGAATCACATTTCTGCTGACTCAAGTCTCCTCTTCATCTGTGAGGAGATTGTCCAGCATTCATTGCCATATAGAAGGATTGATACCATGTAATAGTTCAGTATTCTTCTTTGTTTCTAACAAAATTTTTGTTTCTTAATACTCTTAACTTTTGAAATGCCTTTTTTGGCTATCCCAATGTGCCTTTGGATTTCATGGTTACACTTTTCATCCTCTGTTCAAACAATTCCCCAGATATTTAAATTTTTGTACTTGTTTAATTTTGTTATCTCCACTTTGTAATTTGCATGTTGGGCTGTCACTTTTGATAACAACCATGCATTCCGCCATCTTCCAATTGATGTTTATGAATTAACTATGTATATTGTTGTGGAGGCATGGTGGAGTAATGGATAATCAGATTGAGGAATCAGAGAGCTGAGTTCAAATTCCAGTCAAATCCATTACATTCACTTACATGCTAATACCCTTGGGAAAGATAAGACTCCTCTTCTACTCCCCCCCCCAGCTATGGGTAAATAGCAGGACAGACCAGGTTCTATAGCCTTGGATGGCAACTGGTCTACCACAGAAAGAAATGGCAACCTACTGCAGAGAAAAAATCTGCCTCGTCAGTCATGTCTCGAAAAGATATATGATCGCCTAAGCATGTATTGCACATGGCACATAAATGACTGAGTGAGTGATAAATTGCTACTGTTTTCAAAATCATGTTTCGTAAATGCTAGTCAAGCCTCAGGATTTATTGACAAAATTTAAAAAAAAAAAAAGGGTAATGTAGTAATTTGTATAACTACATCAATACATCTGGACTCATGATAACTAAACACATGTTAAGTCATCTTATGTGTGCCTCATTTTATACTAAAGAAATGTTTTCTATTCTCAGTAAAGCATGTTCAGTATTTCAATTTAAAGTTCACTAGTACTTTATAATCAAGTACATTATAACCTGCTTACTAAGAAACATTTTTTAATTTTTTAAAAGTAATTTTAAAGAATTTGTTTTTTTATTTTTTAACATTTAAAAAAAATAATCAAATACAATTTCATATGGCAGGTTTAGGGTTAGAGTCTTTGTTTTGTTTGTGTTTTTTTTTTTAAATTGAGCATGATATTACATTTGTCATTGTTAAGGTTAGCAAATTTAATTCAATTTTTTCATGCAAAAAACAATACAATAATTCTACTGTTTTGATAAAATTAAAAAAAAAAAAGCTTGGTTTAATAAGCAGGCAATAAATTGCTACTATTTTCCTAGCCATGCTTGGCAAACTGTAGTCATGCCAATCTTCAAAGGATATAGGAAAAAAGTTTAAACATTCTCTCCTGAGGAAAAAAGAGCATAGAGTTGGAGGTGGAGGAATAAGTGTCTTCTAAATCAAAGTCTATTCATCACCTCAAATGCCTTCAACACAATCTATTGCTATGCTTTAGAGATGGTTTCTATTTCGTCATTTTAATGAAAACAAAATTCTCTCAATCAACAATTCCATTGTAACTCTTTGGCAATCTTGAGAAAATAATACATGCTGGAAACAGAAATTCTTAACATATCTCACAAACCATTAATAATAGAATTAGTTCTGTCTTTATTGGATGTCCTACACATGTGGTCTTGCACTAAGCTAAACTTTGTAAATATCAAAAAGTACCATGTAAATTTCAGTAGTGAATATTCTGGGAAAATAATTTTCAAGATATCTGACCTCTTGACCTTTAAAAGTATTTTTTTTTTAAATTAAAAGTCTACCTAGACTGATTTGTTTTTTGTTTTTTACAGCCTAACCTTTTGCAGGTTAAGCCATAAAATATTTTTAGATTGGAACAATTTTTTTTTAGATTATAACAATATACTGATAGAAGTTCTGCTAACTAACCCATTGCTGGGTGAAGAAGAGGTGACTTCACACATTTTCCAAGGGTATTTGTGTATAAGTGAATCTAATGAGATTGACTGGAATTGGAATTCAGTTCTGATTCCCAATTCTGAGTCATCATCTATTTCTCCACTCATACATCCAAGCTGACAGCATCTGCTATTCCCAAGCAGTCACCCACCTAGATACTGACCAGTCTCAACATTGCTTAACCTTGGTGATCATATGAGAACCACTGTTTCAACAGTATATGTCCATAAGCCCAGGTCCACCTGGAATGTGTCCAACCATTTTGAATATCTGAAGAACTGTTTACATGACCTTGAAATAATTTGACAGCCAATTAAAGTAAATCTGACAGTGCATGTGTAAACAGAATCTCTCTACAGTCAGCAGTGAGAGACACTTTTATGCAATCAATCCCCCATTAATAATAACCAAGCAAGTAGATTCTTCTTGTCTTGTGACATCAAAATCATCCCGATCTGTCAGCCCCCCCCCCTAACTAGCTAGATTTGACCCCCTCTGACATCTGGATTGTCCAAAGAACTAGAAAATATGTTGAAATACCCTGGACAAGAAGAAAGAAAAAATTGATATGAGTACTTTGCAGACTGTTTAGAAAAGTGGGATTAATAATGAGGTACTCTAACAAAGTCCAATGAATGGGACCAAGTTGTCATATGTAAGCCAACTTTTTTCTCTCATTAATAGTAAATGACTGGATACTTTCTGGACAGACTTTATATATATATATATATATATATATAAAACTCTTACTTATTATAAAACCCAGGTTGTGTGTGTGTCTGTACATTTATATATTGGATCGGATTTCCTACATTTTTCAACCGATTTCAACAAAACTTCACAGGACTACGTTAAATTACCTTGCGCTGGTTCTGACAGCACCAAAAATTGGAAAAACAATTGTTTTTGCATGAAATCAATTTGAAAGCACGATTAAGAGGCATTAATGAAAGGGGGACAACTCATATTGAGTTATTAATATCGATTTATTGAGTTATACTTATTATAAAACCAAGGTTGGTTGTTTGTGTGTGTGTGTGTGTGTGTGTGTGTGTTCAATTATTTATGGGATCGGATTTCCTACATTTTTCAACCGATTTCAACAAAACTTCACTTTTTTTTTGGCAGGTAGTGTTTCTTATTGTATTGCACATTTTTTTCTTTATTTTTATATTCAGAATGCTTTAAAAATTCCATTTACAAGACATTTGTTTATAATAAAATTCTATTCAATTGATAGACTCATAATGATTGAAAACAATGTTTTTGTTTGAGTTTGGGTTTGACCAATTCACCAAAAAAAAAAAAAAAAAAAAATTAAGACATGCGTGTCCGTCAACCTTAAACAATAATCTTTGTCAATTTTATTTTTCAGTCTTTATGATGGTCGATACTTGATCTATCTTTTACTGTTACATCCCCGGGCAACACCGGGCTCTACTGCTAGTATATATATATATATATATTTAAAAAAAAAAATCTTACATTCCTTTTTAGCAGAGCAATCACCCATTCCATCTACCTCCAAGTGTGTGAATAAGATACCCCAAAACAGTTTACTAAAACCAAAAGATGAAAGTCAAATGTTATTGGCCTACCAGATGGTTGCATAAGGACATCAACTTTTTCATAAACATGTCCATAGCCACTGTCTGTAGAGCTTGAGACATGGGAACAAGGCTCTGCACTTTTAAAGATGGCCACATCATCATAGTGAGACCCTCCAGCTGTATAGTGTAAGTGGGAGGGCCCCGAGAAGGAGTCCTTGTTTTGTAACTGTTGAGGGTCATAGCGAAGTCCTTTCAGGCCACTACTCTCTCCTCCTTCACTGCGCGAAGACGTTGAACCACGTGGAGAATCAAACCCAGAATGGCAAGAATCAGAATTGTCCCCAGCCCTATTATGCTGCAAATTAGGAATCCGTGGGTTACACCTCCGATTAATAACTGAAGGTGTACCTCTCTGGTCAATCTTGGACATTGGCTGGTTAAAGTTAACATTATTGTTGAAACTGCTTCTACTGTAAGGATTATTGTGGTCATAGATTGGAGTGGAATGTTGGGGGTGTGACACTGGGTCAGACCCATAAGTGTCATATGGATTTCGATTGGAACTACCTATAGAAGTCCGTGGAGAGGATCTGGAAATCTGTGGGGGTTCAAGTTGATAAGGTGGGGGTGGTGGTTGCTGCTGCCTGTTTCCAGCAGATGATCGGTAGGGGGGTGTTGGCTGGTAAGGGGTGGGGCACTTGGCCGGAACTTGTCTGACAAGTTTGTCTGGCTTCCCATGGTATTGTCAATCTTCTGCAGAACAAAAAAAAGACAGTGATTAGTGAATTTGTTTGATATTCAGACAAGAATTTTCTCTAAGAAAAAAGACAATCAGAAGCTTGTTCTATAAATTGCTCAGACTAATATTTTCATCTTTGTTGCTTTGAACATTTCTACCAATATGCTCTTCAGTCTTCATAATTGATCTGGGAATTTAGCTATATTGCCGACATGGGAAGAAAAAAAAAATCCTTTACTATAAAGGTAATTTACATTAACCAGAAAAAAGGCTTAGACAGAAGTGTCTATCTTTTTAAATTTGGATTTTTTAATGTAACTATAACAAAAACATTTCTATTTCATTTTTGCCTTGAAAAAGTCGGAAGACGAAATGCGTCGGCAAAATCTAAGATTTTTTTCCAATTGTCATTTTATACTATATATATATATATATATATATATATATATATATATATATATATATATATATAATTGATAATAATGGTCAGCTACTACGTGTTTCTGGGAACACCTGTCAGCCAGAGCAGCAATCCAAATCTGTTTACAGATGCTTGCTGCGTCCAGAGTATACCTAAGGTTTATATTGCAACTATGCTTATCAGGCTTTACAGTTTCTAGACAAGAGTGCATAATCTAGCAGGACCAATTTCTTGAACAAGGTCAGTTCTCTTAAACTATGATGATTGTGACTTTAAGCTAGCACAACCATTCAACAGCTTCCTAACAGTTCTGTCTACCCAACTTCACTCAAGTGGTATGGTTTTCAGGCACTTTCCAAAAGGTGTCATGCACTATGATCGCCTCCCCAGGATGATAAATAAAGGATTTCCTCCCGGATTCCTTCAAGGTTAGAGTATGTGATATATACACAAGGATGGCCAGAGATCATGCCAGTCAAAAATATTGTGATCAAAACAACAAAGAGTAAAGATACTTCTCAAAGTAATTGATAGCATAAAATTCTTTATATAGCAATGGTACAACTGGGAATTCTGCATTTTAATATTTATATGAATGGTATAAATAAAATATGAAATTGAGATATGGACAGAATCTACTTGTAAAAATAAATTTATAAAATAAAGTGAATTTGCATCCTCACTTCTGATAAGGCTTTTGAATAAAATGTTTTAACAGATTAACTGCCAACCACATGATAACTTGTAGTTGTCATAATAAAAACTAACAAGTTGTCATGTTTTTGTGGTCTTCTTATCAAGGCTACAATCATGAGTTTTTTCATTGTTTTTAATGCAAATAAGTGTTGTCTGGCATCTAAGATGGGAATGGAAAATTGTAGTAGCAACTAAAAAACTTTTAATAATAAGAATTTATTAAAAATAAAGCACAAAAATGAAGCATCTGAAAAAAAAAATGTTATTGCCTAAGTTGGTTATTATAAGGTTGGCATTTGAGGTCAGATTTCGTAACTGACCTCTATCAGCCAACATGTTAATTATATTGCATTTTCTTCATTTGATATAAAACAGAAAATTTATAAAATACTCTTATTACAACCAATATTAAATAATATTACTATCAATATAATCAGTTTAATAAAGAACTGTTGTAATTTAATGTTTGGGTGTTAAGAAATGAATATTCAATTTTCAAAGAGTAGAACAAAAAGTTAAATCATTCACGAAACTTTTAAAGACGAGACACTAAGACTACAACATTTATTTCTAATAAACAATGCCAACCGCTTCACAAAGTAACAGTGTGTCTGGTTTGTACCAATAGGTAATCTCCCAATAATATAAGATCCTGCAAATAAAATTCAATGACACAAATGCTTGAACCATCATGGAACTCAATGTCAAGGCAGAAAATACAAATAGTCACTCAGAAACAAAAAATATCTACTGGGCATTGTAGATTGACAAATCCTTTATGATAAGTAAATTTATTGAATATTTGTGTGCTGCTATAAGCAAGACCTGTGATGGCAAAAGATTTAATCTCAGGACAATAAACAGGTGGGCTGAAGGTGAAACTGATAGGCAACTCTGAAAGAAATGTGAAAAAGAAAAAAAAAGAAAGAAGCATGTCAAGATGGTACAGGAGAATTAAATTTAAACTTCTTTACTTGTAGAGTGAGAGATGTATTTGACAACCGATAAGAGACCCTCATCATAAAAAAAATGTCTAAATTGTTATTAATTATAAAAACTACAATTACAGTTCATAGACCAATAAATATGGTGACCCCTATTTCTCATCATATCCACTGAGAGAAAAAGAGAAATGTGGTTATGAGAGTGAGAGAAGGTAGCAGAATGGTTACCAGCACAAAGCCCAATTCACAAATGTAATTCAAACTCTCATATTCACTTTGCCTTAAAGAGCGGTATAAATCCATATTCCTGTTCTTTGTCTCCCTCACCAAATATTTTGACAAATATCTCTGGCACAGTATGAAGGTTAATGGAAAAAGAAAGCAAGTGAATGAGTACTTGGGCAAGCCACAATCTTATAACTACTAAGGCCAGGTACTAATACCCATAAAAAGCTATTATTTCTAATTTTGACAGGGTCATAACACCAGTTGGCAGTGATTTCTCATAATTTCAGTATTAAAATTGCATATTGTAATCATAAGTTACATGCTAATAGTTTCTTCTTCTCACACATTCTTCACTTGTGTAACTGTTCTGGCTTCCTATTTTCCTGTCGTAGTCTTCAAAAAATAAAAAAGCAATGTCAATCATCATCTTATGTCTCCTTGAATCCTATTCTTTTTATTGCCCTCTCTGTTTCTTTCCGTCTCAGTAACTATTTGCATCCTTGTAGCTTTTAATGCCTTACTTGGGGTGAAATGATTAAAAAACGTTCAAATTTTAAAGAAAGAATAATGAACAAAAAACAAAAAAAAAAAAGTATGATGTTTAATCCATTAATTGTGCAAGTGAAAGCAAATAGAAATAAACAGGTATTTTCCAAGATTAGTTTAGACTGGCAAAAGGGCACATACGTTTAAATTAGTAAACTAGCAAATGGTTTAAATCACTAACTTGCTGAATACACCAAACAGTTTATGAAGATCATCTTAGTCTGGCACAATAAAAATAATAGGAGTAGATAAGTTTGCCTATCGTCCAGTTCACACTCCTCCCTGGTCTTTTGGACAGTAGAAGGAGTTTATCTCTTGTTTAGGATTGAGTCTTATTCTCTTTCCCTCCAAGTAGCTCTTTGCATTTTAGTGACATTATTGCTTTGCTTGGGGTGAATTGATTAAAAAAATATCCAGGAGACACTGAGGCAGTTGTCATGCCAAGTAGTAGACTGACACCTTCTTTAATCCTCCCCAATATATTATCATTTTGTTTAAAGTTTATATTTTCTTGAGTTCAGAGAAAAATTTGAGAATTTTCCAAAACATTTCAGTGGTATTTTCACTTTGCAGAATTATAGTATATAATTATCAATACATAGAAAAATGTGTTAAGCTAAGTCTAGTTTGGTACAAGGCCGCAACAGAATGATACTCATAGTAACACATTATACATGCAATTACCTACTATATTTGCTAAACAACACCCCATGGCAGGCAGTTTGCAAATATTACTTATTTGAGTAAAGTGCAGGACCAAAATTATAGGAGTCCATATAAGGATTAATCTCACCCCCCAGGTTTTAAATAAATGGGGTTTGATGACCAGCAGTTTTTAGCAGGGAACCAACTAGAACATCAGGTCACAGTAATGGGGGATCAAATTCACTACATTTGTGAATGTTGTACAGCATTCATCTATCATTTCCTATCAACAATGCTAGGGATAGAAAGAGATTTAGTATGGCTAGCTTTGTCAGGCACAAGGCCATAATAGAAGGATCAAAGTCATGACACTGGTAAATATTATGCAAAAATAATTATCTCTTTACAGAAAGCACACATATAAGCTAAAGTAGTAGAGGAAATGTTTGGATGCCATAACATGCAGCAAAGGCAATGATTCAATGCAGATCTTCATGATTCTCAATAAGAAGCAATTTTGAAAGCAGCAAAATAAGATAAAGACTGAAACAAATTGCAGCAAAACGACAGAAATTCCAGCAAAATAGCATGAAGACTGAAAAAAGAAAATTGCAGCAAAATAATGAAGACTGAAATGAGAAAATTGCAGCAACAAACTAATGATTTTCAATAAATTCATTTCCCAGCAACAATAAACAAGTTCTTATTTTAACGACATTAATAAAATTAAAACACAAACTGTGTTGAATATTATAAAACACCTGTAAATATACAGCTGTAAGATTTTAGGCAAAGAAAACATAAGGATAACAAAATGTTGGAATGAGGATAAGAGAAAAGGTGCCCTCCATCTGGCATGCAAGATAGCAATTTTGGGCAACTAAATAATTAAGAGTGTATCACCTTTATCTTCACTTACATGGTGACATGTCAGTGTACATATTCACAATGACTAGCATTAGGACTAAGAGAAGTGTGATAGATGCTGTCTCAATCAGAATTTAGATGGTGTACCAAATACGTTTTCTAAGTTGATAACTTTGGCCATTTCTTATACGCTGCTAAGAGAAAGGTGAGATCATGTGAACAGTAAAGCTAATAGCCTTGTGATTTAAGACAAATAAAATCCTGTCTAGTTAATAAGAACAGCAAAATAACTTAAAACTTTGGTAACTTTGCTGACAAGACCCCCCAAAAAACAAAAAAAAAAAACATGCTTATAAGTAAATAATATTCATGTAAATAACAATTACAGATGATTTTGCTTAATTATTATTTCTGTCATTATCATCAGACAACTGATTTTTGCTGCTGATTTATCAGAGTGCATTCAAGCAACTGTTTGTGTGGTATTTAAAGCCAAAGCATATTTGAATTTTAAAAATAATAGCTTTTTTTTTGTTAAGTGAATATTAAATTAATTTTTAGAATAATGATTTTTCCCAGTTTAAGTTCTACTATTTAACCCATAGCTGAAGGATAGAGATGGATTCAGACATTTTCCCAAGGATATCTGCATGCAAGTGAATGTAATGAACCTAATTGGAATTACAACTCAGATCTCTAGGTTTTTATTTCAAGCTACTATTAATTACATCACCCACACATCCACCAAATAAGCAAGGGTGCTTCACCATTGAGTAATGGTTAGCAATATAATGTGGATGATGATTACAACTGAAGAGGGTGATCTTTTACTTTGTTTCCTAGATTTGTGGACATGTGCTTTACTTTGCTAAGTAAATGCTAATAAGAAATCAAACCTTTATGCAAAAATACATGTTTTTTTTTTCTGAATGACCTTCATCCTTTGTGACAAAATTATTGAGGCTGTGATAAAAAAAATATGTCAGTAACTGGATAATGACAAAAGACAAAAAAATACAGATTGTTCATTTATGGTCAAATTCTGTATTTTCTTTCCCCTCTCTTTAAAAGGTTAGCACAGGATCCTTACTAACCAGGCAATAATATCAGGGTCTGTATTAATCTAGGTGAAGAAAAAAAGGAATGAGTTTGTTAAAGGAGAAATGAACAACAGAATATTATCAGCTGAATAAAAAGGTTTGACTGATTAAGGGGACTGAAAAACTAAAGAAAGCAGTTAATGTGCAAACAACATCACAAGTCATTAGCAAACAAAGAGCAAAATATACAAAACAAAAATTAAAAAAAACAAACAAACATATGTACTTGCAGCAGCTTATATATATATATATATATATATATATATATATTAAGAAATGGACAAAGTCCGATAATTTATTTATTAAAGACATTTTTATGTTTAACGTTCTTTTTATAGATACAAGTATTTAAGTAAATGCTCTGTTTATAATAAACAGTATTAAATAACATTTACCGGCCTGAATGTCCGAGAAATTTTCATAGAAAATATTCGTCCTTTGACAGGATTTGAACCTGCATCCTATACGGAACAGTCATTTACGCTGACGTGCCTTGAACGCTCGGCCACAAAGGATCGTTCGGTTGGCAAAGTTGACATTCAGGCCAGTAAATGTTATTTAATACTGTTTATTATAAACAGAGCATTTACTTAAATACTTGTATCTATAAATAGAACGTTAAACATAAAAATGTCTTTAATATATATATATATATATATATATGTGTGTGTGTGTGTGACAAAGTAGAAAATGTTTTTGTGTAACACATTTCATCCTTTAGGACTTCAGACTAAATTTATTATATTGGTGCAGCTACACATGTGCATAAATGAGGGATGCTGGGAATATTAATTTTAATTTTTTTTTATTTTTTTATTCTAGTTGACTTCATTTAAATTCTTTTTCTTTTCTTATTACTTTTGTTAGTAGATATCCCACAGTGATAATAAAAGTTCTGCAAGGAATGCTGAAATAATGTATTTAAAATTCCCATCATCCTTCATTCATGTACATGTGTAGTCAAAACCAATATAACAAATTTAGTCCAATGAAGTCCTAAAGGACAAAAGGACATCACAGTAAAACTTTTTCCACTTTGTCTTACATTTTTCCCGATATTGTTCTCGATATATAAAACACACATACACACATTATATATATTATATTATTGATGGTCGACTCAGAAGTTTCATAATTTTTCAATCATTCATCAGAATTTTGTATAAGAAAGATTACATTGATTACAGATTTTCTATAAATTATCATTCTGGTCAAAAGTTTTAATAAGTGATTAAAAGATTATGAAACTCCTGAATAGAACTTCAATGTAGACTTCTTGTTTAAGAAAAAAAAAGGTATATAATGGTAATGGTAATATTAGCTGTGTTTCCTTTCAAGAAAACATTTGGCATTCATTGACTGAGCAACCAGTTGTGCTTTTGGTTAAAATTTATAAAATTAATTCTCTTAAAACAATTTTTCAAGAAACCATGTTTTTCAAGTCCAGTTGCTGTAATCACTATTTTCAGTATTGATGGGGGTTTCCTTCCTGACCTTTTATTTGATGTATGTATTATTTTCTCTTAAAGTTACATGTGCTATCCATTTTAATTGTTACCACTGTTGGTAGTCCTCAAGTGATGTGGCTTCTGTTATTTGGTGCAGTTCTATGACTGTGAATCTGTCTGTAGCACCAGTCCACAATATTCAAAGAGTGATGACCTTTGCCAAAACCCTTACAATTCACTTGCTCAAAGCCATTTTTTTTTTTTTTTTTACTATTGATCTTATATAAGTATACAGTTTATCCCAAAACAAATTTACCTGAATTAATAAACACTAAACAGTCAAAAACAGCATGTGATATTTCCAGTTCAATGCGAATGACATCAATATGAATTAATTTATTCAGCCAGGTTTTCAATTCTTGTAAGATAGATGGTTTTATACCATCCATTATGTTCATTATGGCTCAACATAGAAAGACATCTGCAACAGTTCAATCAGATGATCTTACCAGCTAATCATGTTAGCTGAGAGATGTTGCACCGTGGTTTCAGGACGTTATTTCAGATGTCCCAATACTTTTACGGCAAGTCAGACATTGTTTTAATAGATGTATAATATCTTTTATTTCATCACCCATTTACTGCGTATTATAAAGCTCTTCTAAAAGTATTTACAATAGAGCACTCTTATACATGTAAAAAAAGGAATAATGATAATACAACTCAAAGACATTTATCAAAATGTGCAAAAATAACTAAAAATTAATGCAGCAGAATTTTTTTAAAAAGTGCTCAATAGATAACTAGAACAATAATCAATAAATTTTCAATGGAATTATTTCAGTGACTGACTCTATAGTTTCACATAAAGCCATTCATCACAATCAGATAGTCTAATACATCTATTATTATTCATGCTCTACCAAATCAAATGCTGATCAGAGATTTCAAATTTGAAATATGCACTACTAGAGTCCATTACAAACATGACAACATTTAAAAGCAATCAAAATATTCATTTTTTTTGTTTTTAAAATCACAGAAAATTCACTAATATTTACATAAAAAAATACTTCATAGTATTCAAAAGTTACCAACAACAGTATATATATATACATATATATATATATATATATACACACACACTAGAGGCCAAAAGTTTGAGGTCACACACAGTCTTAATTTTGAAGAATTACCTAAAAATTGAAGGTGGTGTATATTTTACAAAACTTACTAACTCCCTTTGAGACAAAGGGATCTTGTCTTACTGAAGGGTTTTATGAAATATTCAATGATAATAACAAAATTAACCCATTCCTGCATAAAGTTTACTTAAAATTTGAACTCTTTTTACTTCATCTACCTTGGCCGGCTAATTGTAATATTAGAGCTTTGGAGGCAGGGTTCAATTTTAGGTAAACCCACCTGTAAAAAAATTAGATGTGCACCAAATGGTTAAACAGTTCCACCATCCTATCTTAGTATGAGTTAATTAAATCAAAGAAGCTATTAAACCTAATTATTAAAGTCATAGAGTGACCCCAAACATTTGGTCTATAATGTGTGTGTGTGTGTGTGTGTGTATGCAGAGAGATTTCTCGTCATATACTCACATGAGGAGAGCCATATCCTTTGTTCTCTAATACTGAGTAATGATCTTCCTGTTGTTGGTTTGGAATGTTCCAATGCCAATCCTGCCTTGGATCAGGCAAATGGGAAAAATTGGGGGGTGCCCCTGAGGCATTTGGTGTACTCTGATCAAGCATTTTCTCTTGAAAACTTGCAGAGACAGTCAAAGGTACGGAAATATCATTTGGAATGTTTCGGTCACTTGTCCTTGGTATTGGAGTAGCTTTATTGTTACCATAGAACTCATCACCACGCAATGGTTTCTGGTCAAGAGTTTGGGAGTTGTTGGTATGCTGAGGAGAATTTGAAGTGTGCCTATAAAGGGCACCTTGCATTGGTAGGGATCCCCTTAACGAGGAACCAGATGTTGATTCTCGAGGCAATACTCTGTAACCTTCAATGTCACTACTGTAGCCATCTTTCCGAGACCGGACCAAGCGAGGATTATAATGATGTAAAGGCACGTGGTCAATGGCATCACCCCCAGAGTTAATGTTCTTTGAAGAGAGCAGCATCTTCTGTAGATGTCTATACCGCATGATCTCCTGATCACTACGATAACCAGTATCTGAATCATAGTCTCTAGTTTTGTGATGGGATTTACCACTAGGAGAATCATATATCAAATGTCTCTGGGAGTAAATATGTGGGTCTGTTGATCTTTGATTGCTATTTCCACTGGCAGCAATGGAAAGCAAACCTTGTGTGGAGGAGACTTTGCCATGAGAGAAAGGAGTAGAATGGTGCATCTGAATCAAAGAAGAAGTGCTACCAATGGCCTTGCGGTCATCAGACAATTTATGATGATCAAGTTCAGAACCAATGTCCGAGCCAATATGAATATTGGAAATGGATCCGGAAAGGTTGTTGACCACACGATCTGGATTGTACCGAGCAAGGTCTGAAAATAAAACAGCCAGTTTGAAAGTTACCAGATAAAGCTCAAATTGTTTCTGGTTTCCTAGAAAGTTCTTGGGCTTATGACCTGTCAAGTTTAACATGGTTTCAAATTTAATAACAGAAATCACCAAACTTAAAATATTTTTTTATAATAATAATAATAGAGCAAAGGAAATAAAATGTAATTGATTCAAATAAAAAAAGTGATACCCTAAAAAGGGTCCACATTTTCCTCCTTACCATCAAATCTTAAGACTAATATCCTCACCTTCATTGTTTTTTTATGGCTGTCAATTGATTGTTTGCCATTTGGATTACAGTTTACAAGAAGGTAAGAAATCAACAAAAGACATGTTTATCTAAGCATTTATTTGGGAGAAAATTAAGGAAGTGTACAAAACTGTTTTACTTGCAGTGTTCAAAGTGTCCTCATGATCAATTGCAGAGTGGTACACACACTTGCAGAGTTTCATATAAATTTCCTCAAAATTTACAGTGATTTAAGCCTTTAGTTTCTGAAAGGTACAATACTTTCATCATTTACACTATTTACATTGTTCACACTTATCCTCATTTTTATTGCTAAACTCATGACGTTTCAGTTGTTGTACAACCCAGCCTTCTTCAGGTGATGTTTCTTGGAATTTCAAACCAAACTCTTTATTCAGTCCATGGGAGTAGATTATTCTAATTCCACATGCTATGCACTTGGATATCTGTTTCAGTTAATTTCCCTTGATAACTCAACTCTCCATGTTTTTTTTCCGCCCTCTGCTGTGGCCAAGTATTGAACTTACATCTCTTTGGGTAAGGTCACTTTTGGATCAATCAATGGTGGAATTAAAACAATCTACCTCCGTGGACTAAATAAAGGGTTTGGTTCGAAATTCCAAGAAATATCACCTAAAGAATGCCAGAGAATGATGTAAATAGTGTAAATATTTACAATACCTGATCTCAGAAATATAGACAGAAGCTTTTACTGATAAAGAAAGTCTTTCATGAGCTCCCAAAAGTAAGAAATCTGTATATATGAGGGGTGAGAAGCATGTTGGCCACTCTAATGGACTACAATATCCAATCAAATTTGTAAAGGTTTCACTAACCATAACATCCCTAATCAGACACAGATCCATGTTACTGAAAGTAACAGTTCAGATCTTGTACCCTGGGGCAACAGGTTTGCAGTATAGAAATATCTGGGCACTACATTTGACTCACCATCTTTACAAGTTTACCAATACCATCAAAAAATGACAGTAGTATCTAAGTATTTTTATCTACACAATTTGCAACAGCTGCACGTAAGAAAGAGTTTTGGATTTGAAATCATTCAAAGTAAAAAAAAATATATCCAAAGAAACTAAGACAAAATAAAAGTCAATGCATTAGTAGCTTGACCTACCATACTTAGTGATGAGATATTCTATTGTTGTAGCAACATAAAGGAGATTCATTCATCAGTATAGAATAATGCCTCCAATTACCATAAGAACAGAATAAATCATTACTCAGAAGCAGGGGTGATAAGGCTGAATGATTATATATATATATATATATATGAAAGCCTACTGAAAAGATTTTGGTACAACCGAGAGAGGACCTTCAAATAAGAAATAGTCATAATTTTGGGGAACGAGTTAGGCTGAGAACTTTTCAGCATCTGTGTATGTGTGCGTATATATATATATATATATATATATATATATATATATATATATAAGAGATGCTGAAAAGTTATGTGTGTGTGTGTGTGCGTATATATATATATATATATATATATATATATATATATAAGGAGATGCTGAAAAGTTATGTGTATATATATATATATATATATATATATATACACACACACACACACGGAGCCACAGTAGAGTAATGGATAGCAGCTTGGATTGAGGAATCGCAGAGCCGAGTTCGAATTCCAGTCGAATCCATTACATTCACTTACATGCTAATACCTTGGGAAAAGTATTAATCCTCTTCATCTCCCTCCAGCTATGGGTAAATAACAGGACAGACTGGGTTCTATAGCCTTGGATGGCAACTGGTCTAAGAGAAGGGGGCAACTCTTAATTCAAAATCTACAGAGGATCGTTTGTGGGCCTTGTGGCACCTAGTGCACCAGGTCTCTGTATTCAGCCCTTCAAAAAGGGTGATTGGTTCTGCACAAAACATTCACCACCATAATCAAATCTCATGTGTTAGTGCCAGGCTGTCAGTTCCTTGGAACTGATCTGCTTGGGCCTCATACGTTGAATAATTGACAGGAGAGTCGAGTGTGTGTGTGTGTGTATATATATATATATATATATATATATATATATATATATATATATACACACACTCTATACAGATCATCTGACATTACAATTATTTTTTTGTTATTTTTCCAGTGATCAGTGAAGAGAGAGATTAAACAGAGAAAATAAAATGATTATCAGATAAAACACACCCGCAAATGGCCAGAGAACTAATTGGCCAAAACAAAAGTAAAGTTCTGTTTATATTTCTGAGAAGAGGTATTGTAACTATTTACATCTATCTGATTGTTGTCCTTATCTTTATTTCAGTGTTCATGATATTTCGACCATTGTAAATGCCAACCTTCTTAAGTAATATACACATGGCCCAGTGGATATAAAAAAAAGAAATGCTAAGGTCAAAATAAAATAACGGGTTTAGTTTAAAATTCTAACATACATTCCCTGAAGGAGCATAAAATAGTCAAAACATTGATAATATGACAATAAAAATTAGGACAACAGTCCAAATGATGTAAACAGTGTAAAAAGTAAAGCTGCTACTTGAAAAATTTTCTTCCTAGTTTTCTACTAAATATCAATTTCTTAAAATCTCTTCTTTGTTTATATACGTTGATTTCAAAATTAACGAGCAACTAATTTTAAATTTCTCTATTAATATTACATTTCCTCTTTCATAAAGGTCACTATTAATTAAGCTATTTTGCAGCAACCCTGCAAGTGAGAATTTTTATATCAATTTATTTTGGCTAACAACACATGGTGCCAGAGTTTTATTTATGGATGTACTACCTGAAATACTTTAAGTTTTTTTTTTTAATAAAAAATTCCATTTTGGTCAGTATGTTAATTTCAGAATTAATTTACACTGAATATCTGAGAATGAAAAATTTATACAAAGTATCTAAGACAGCAAATAAGCAACATTTTTTCTAATGCTCACATAATACAAGGCTCAAAAACCACTTAAAGTAGAAGCTTATGAAGCAAGGTTTACTTTTCACAATGATGTTCACTCTGTACAAGGCCCAAGAGCCATTCGAGGCAGAGGATTAGAGAGTCAGAGACACAGTTTATGTGGGGAAGAAAACGGTTGATGCTAGACTTGAATAAGTTAAGATTGTAGTGATTGGGTAAGCAACCTCTGGGGAGTTAGTTTCATAAAGCAGTGGTTTGAAAGTTAGAAGTTAAAAAAGAAACAAAAACAAAGATTGAAGAACTCAAAATGGCATTGATAGACTAGATCCTAAGGTGAGTTCTTGAGGTACAGGTTTATTGGAAGAAGCAACATCAGTGGAACTTACATCTCACCAACAGAATATGAAGGGAAATGGGGGTGGTTCTCAACAAAGTGCACAACATGGCAAGTCCTACCCATGAAGGTTGCAACTGGAAGAAAAAAAGGATTGTAGTTCATCTGAATACCTTCCATGGAAATAGCAATAGTTTTGTCTGTGAGAAGAGAATTGCAAGGTGGAAAATAATTCATCACCAACAAAGACTCTTTTGAACTAACAAGACTCCAATGTGAAGACTGAACAGTTGCTGTCCATATATGACAGCAGTACCCCATTAGAGGAGGAGGTGGTAAGAAGGGAAAATGATGAGGATATGGATAACAGATAAGAATTGACTCTAGATTTGAAGAGGTTAAGATTGCAACATTCAGGAAAGCATCCATATGGAACTAATTTCTTAGCAATTGAATAGAAAGAATGAGAGGGATTCACCCCTGTGGACATAGAAAAGTGGATCTTTAGTACCATACCTGCTGGTACTAAAGAATGGAACTCATCTGAACATTTGAAATTGAATAGTGATAGGCTTCTGATGTTTTGTCTGTAGAGAAAGAGGCTGCAGCGTGGAAAATAAGTCATCAGCTACAAGGCCACATTAACTATGTTGAACATTTATCATTTAGATAAGCTAATCCTATTTATAACTGCTTTACATGTTAAAATAAAATAAAATAAAATTAATAATGAAAAGGAAACAGATAATAAAGGATCTATTCTAAAGAGAAAGACTAAGGAAATCATGTACCTTTTGATAACTCCCCACAAATTTTTTTTTTATATTTTGGAGCCATGGAAAAGCACAATATAAGTGCTTATCCCATTTAAACAGTTCTTAATATTCTTGTATTGAGACTTGCTGGTAAAATGCAAACTGTCTCAGGTGAATCAATCAAATCTATTGAATCTTTTACATACTTAGGAAATGAAATAAATTCTACAGAAAAGGATGTGAAAATTTGCTTAAAGCCTGGGCTGCCTTGAATAAAATGGATGTAATCTGTGTTGTATCATACCTATGGACGATAATGGGTATGTCCCCATTCACATAAATACAGTAGTAAATACTGTATGTTGGTCTGCAGTTGGAGATTTATTTTGGAATTCACTTGACTCACTTCTAGCAGTTAACTACTACTTCTACGCACCACTTTCGAATCATATATGTATTTGTCTATATTTCTGAGATGAGGTATTATGTACATTATTTACATTATTCGGACTATTGTCCTCATCTTTGTTGCCATATTTATCACAACGTTTAATTAAAATATGTACCTCCGGCCT